TGAGCTTCTCACCCTATCTCTAAGGCTGAGCCCAGCCACTCTCCTGAGAAAACTCATTTCAGCCGCTTGTATCCGCAAACTCGTTCTTTCGGTCACTACCCAAAGTTCATGACCATAGGTGAGGGTAGGAATGTAGATCGACCGGTAAATCGAGAGCTTCGCCTTCTGACTCAGCTCTCTTTTCACCACGACAAACCAGTACAATGCCCGCATCACTGCATATATATATATATATATATATATATATATATATATATATATATATATATATATATATATATATATATATATATATCAATAAAAAAAGAGAAATAACTGCTTTGGTGACTTAATATAGCTGTGTTTTAAAATTATTTTAAAAATGTAGTTAACTTATAACGTGATTTTTTTTCATCATGTAGAGGCAGCTCTAATGAATGCAGACAATTTATTCTGTAGTCTTTGATAATTAGTCCAGTATTTTCAAGTTTAAAAGAGGACATATTATGCCAAACTCACCTTTTGTATTCATTTGTGCTTGACCCATGTGGGTCTCTACTGTCTGTTTTGTCGTCGTCATCTTCCTCCGCTCATTCGGGTCCGGGTCGTGGGGGCAGCATCCCAACTAGGGAGCTCCAGACCGTTCTCTCCCCAGCCACCTCCACCAGCTCCTCCGGCATGACCCCAAGGCGTTCCCGGACCAGATTGGAGATGTAACCTCTCCAACGTGTCCTGGGTCGACCCAGGGGCTTCCTGCCGGCAGGCCATGCCCGAAATACCTCCCCAGGGAGGTGTCCAGGAGGCATCCTGACCAGATGCCCAAACCACCTCAACTGACTCCTTTGGATCCGGAGGAGCAGCGGTTCTACTCTGAGTCCCTCCCGCATGTCCGAGCTCCTCACCCTATCTCTAAGGCTGAGCCCGGCCTCCCTATGGAGTAAACTCATTTCGGCTGCTTGTATTCACAATCTCGTTCTTTTGGTCAATACCCAAAGTTCATGACCACAGGTGAGGATTGGGACATAGATTGACCGGTAAATCGAGAGCCTGGCTTTCTGGCTCAGCTCCCTCTTCACCACGACAGATCGGCTCAGCGTCTGCAGTGATGCAGACGCCGAACCAATCCGCCTGTTGATCTCCTGATCCCTCCTACCCTCACTCGTGAACAAGACCCCAAGATACTTAAACTCCTAACTTGAGGTAGGACCTCTCTCCCGACCCGGAGTTAGCAAGCCACCTTTTCCCGGTCGAGAACCATGGTCTCAGATTTGGAGGTGCTGATCCTCATCCCAGCTGCTTCACACTCGGCCGTGAACCTACCCAGCAAAAGCTGGAGGTCAAAGCTGGATGAAGCAAGGAGGACCACATCATCCACAAAAAGAAGAGATAAGATTCTCCTGCTACCAAACTCGACACACTCCACACCACAGCTGCATCTAGAAATTCTGTCCATAAAGGTAATGAACAGAACCGGTGACAAAGGGCATTCCTGGCGGAGGCCAACCCTCACCGGGAACAGGTACACTTTACTACCAGCTATGCGGATCAATCTCACGCTCCTCTGGCAAAGAGACTGAATGGCCCTTAACAAAAGGCTACCCACCCCATACTCCTGGAGCGCCCCCCACAGGGTGCCCCTGGGGAGACGGTTATAAGCCTTCTCCAAATCCACAAAACACATGAGAATTGGTTGGGCAAACTCCCATGCCCCCTCCATCACCCTTGCAAGGGTATAGAGCTGGTCCACAGTTCCACAGCCAGGACGAAAATCACATTGCTCCTCCTCAATCTGAGATTCAACCATCGATCGGACCCTCCTCTCCAGTACCTTGGAGTAGACCTTTCCAGGGAGGTTTAGGAGTGTGATCCCCCTATAGTTGGAACACACCCTCCGGTCACCCTTCTTAAAGATGGGGACTACCAACCCGGTCTGCCACTCCACAGGAACTGCCCCCGATGACCACGCAATGTTGCAGAGACATGTCACCCACGACAGCCCTACCACATCCATAGCCTTGAGATACCCAGGACCAATCTCATCCACCCCCAGGGCTCCGCCGCTGTGTAGTTGTTTGACTACCTCAACAACTTCTACCCCAGAGATTGGACAGTCCATCCCAGGTCTCCCGGCTCTCGCTCCTCCTTGGAATGCGCGTAGGTGGGATTGAGGAGCTCCTCATAGTATTCCTTCCACCACCCAACTATAGCCCCAGTTGACGTAAGCAATTCCCCATTCCCACTGCAAACAGTGTGAGCGAGTTGCTGCCTCCCTCTCCTGAGGCGCCGGATAGTTTGCCAGAACCTCTTTGGCACCGATCGATAGTCTTTCTCCATGGCCTCACCAAACTCCTCCCATGCCCGAGGTTTTGCCTCGGCAACTGCCACTGCTGCACCCCACTTGGCTATCCGGTACCTGTCTGCTGCCTCTGGAGACCCACAGACCAGTCACGCCCTGAAGGCCTCCTTCTTCAGCCTGACGGCTCCCCGAACCTCTGGTGTCCACCAGCGGGTACGGGGGTTGCCACCACGACTGGCACCGGCCACCTTGCGACCACAGCTAGCAACAGCCGCCTCAACAATCCCAGAGTAGAACAAGGCCCTCTCAGAGTCGATGTCCCCCACTGCTCTCAGGACGCGGTCAAAGCTCTGCCGAAGGTGGTTGTTGAAGACCGTCTTGACAGGTTCTTCTGCCAAGCGTTCCCAGCAAACCCTCACTATTTGGGTCTGCCAGGTCTACGCGGTCACGTGATCAGTTGACAGCCCCGCTCCTCTCTTCACTCGGGTATCCCAAACATACGGCTGCAGGTCAGATGATACGACTACAAAGTCTATCATCGACCTGCGACCTAGGCTGCCCTGGTACCAAGTGTACCAATGGGCATCCTTATGTTCGAACATGGTGTTCGTTATGGCCAAACTGCAGCTTGCACAGAAGTCCAATAACGAAACACCACTCGAGTTCAGATCAGGCGGGCCGTTCTTCCCAATCACACCCCTCATTTCCTAAGTGAGCATTGAAGTACCCAGCAGGAGAATGGAGTCCCCTGATGGAGCACTATCTAGCACTCGTCCCAGGGACTCCAACAAGGGTGGGTAATCTGAACTAATATTTGGTGCATATGCACAAACAACAGTCAGGACCCATTGCCCGACTCGAAGGCGCAGGGAAGCTACCCTCTCATCCCCCGGGGTAAACCCCAGCACACAGGCAGAGAGTCTTGGGGCTAACAAAAAGCCAACCCCAGCTCTACGCCTCTCACCCAGAGCAACTCCAGCAAAGGAGAGTGTCCAACCCCTCTCAAGGACTTAGGTTCCAGAGCCAATGCTATGTGTCGAGGTAAGTCCGACTATATCTAGCCGATACCGCTCAACCTCTGCCACAAGCTCCTGCTCCTTCCCCGCCAACGAGGTGACGTTCCATGTCCCAATAAGCGGTTTCCTTGTCCGCGGATCGGACCGCCAAGGCTCCCACCTCGGTCTGCCACCCGATCCACACTGCACCGGACCCTTCATGTTCCTCCTGCGGGTGGTGGGTCCAGAGTTGGATGAGCCCATGTATCCGGTTCGGGCTGGGCCCGGCCGGGCCCCATGGGCGATAGCCCAGCCACCAGGCGCGCGCTCACGGGCCCCAACCCCAGGCCTGGCTCCAGGGTGAGACCCCGGTAACCCTCCGGGCGGGGTACTCCAACTCTTTGTTTTTAAGTCCATGAAAAATCTTCTGAACCGTTCTTGGTCTCATCCTTCACCTAAGACCCATTTGTCATGGGAGACCCTACCAGTGGCACAAAGTGCCCCAGACAACATAGCTCCTAGGATCATTGGGGCACTCAAACTCCTCCACCACGATAAGGTGACGGTTCAAGGAATCTGTTTCAACATCCCAAATGTAAACAACAACAAAAAGACGCAGACCACCTGCTTTCTGTCAGTGTTTGGATATAGGAATAATTTGATTAAAACAAGCCATTTCAAAAAGTCCCTATTTATGATGTCACAAACAGGAAGATTAGAATAGGACCACATCCTACGTTTGAGAGCAGCTGCTATTTTAGGAGCAGAGGCTCTACTCTGAGCTCCTCCCAGATATCAGAGCTTCTCAGCCTGAGCTGGGGATGGGTGGGCGGGGCCATCTTCAGCTTGTTTTCTTAAAGTGACAGAGCCCTGAAACGGCTCATTCTGGAAGGCACTGAAACAATCAAGAGTAACACTCCTGAGATTGTGATTGCATCAAACTCAAAAATGTTAACAATATTAGATGCCTCCAAACAAAAATGTGTTGGCTTATTTTAAAATTTAATAAATGGTCAATTTGTGTTGTTTTGATTTATGTTTTAATAAAGAATGAGTTTAAATTTAACCTCAGCAAAGACCCAACCTGAAAACGTTTTTGCTGGAAAAAATGACATAATGACCACTGTTCCCAAGAATAAAGTGAGACAAGATGAAATTTGATTACAGTTTTAAAGAGAACTTCAAGCATAACTTATATTTTTAGCATTCTTTTCTGACTAACTCAACTAATTGCTACCTCTACTTTGATTTTTCAGTTCTCCTGAACTTTCCACAAACTAAAAATAAGACAAATGAAAAAAAAAAATAAATAAAAAGAAAAAAATAAATAAACCACTATATCAATGATTAAATTTAAATTTCTAAATTTAAAATATGTTTTTTTTTTCTTGAAACTAATAAGTTTGAAACCAATTGGCTGTTAATGTAACATTGCTACTGGATTCCCAAAGTGCTGACATAGACAATTAAATAGCTTGGTGTGTTTGTGGTGCAAAGACGGTCAGATAAAGTCATGCTCACTGCAGCTGGTGGAAGCTTTGTGAGACTGCAGCTTAGAATCAGAAAAACTGCCATGCTTTAATGTTGTGAGATCTCATTACATCCCTAATTTTATTACCCACAGTGGAGTCTGGGCCTAAACTTTAAAAACTATTTCTCCAGAACCACTGGATGGTTTGCTAACTTGGCTAAAATGTGTTTCAACATCTTCTGTTGTTCTTTTTCTGCAGGAACCTGCTGGATAAAGACACGTTTTCGAAGTCTGATCCAAGTGAGTCTGTTACATCTCTCAGTAATCCTCTGTAACATCTGATCCTTTACACTTTGATCTCACTTTTATGTGATGCATTCTTTTTAGCTTTAACATAAGAAATGATAAGGTTCTGACATGTTCATTATACCTGGAAATCTGAAAACAGCTTTCTTCTCTGTAGCGACAAATTGTGATAAATACCAGTTGGTGTTTAATTCAGGATTTTCCTTGGTTAGTATCAAAAACTTAACTTTTATAAATTTCCCTGTCTGTTGCTTTTTCAGTGTGTGTGCTGTACACGCAAGGTGTTGAAACCAAACAGTGGAGAGAGGTGAGTTTAGACACACACACACACACACACACACACACACACACACACACACACACACACACACACACACACACACACACACACACACACACACACACACACACACACACACACAAAATCTTAAAAAGGAGAAAGGAAGCTCTATCCAGTTATGCTTGTGTGCTTTTGTTAGGACATACTTTATTTGACTGGTCCCCTGAGAGATTACACTAGTTTGTTTAAAATATGTATTAAAGTTTCTCAAGCAGTTGTTTTGTGAAAATGTCAAAAAGATTTTCTCTAATTAGACACTTCAAAACTAAAGGGGAAAAAAATCAGTCAGCACTACTAAGAACTAAAAACCAATTTGGGGAGGGGTTGACTTTAATCCAACTCTCACCTTGCTTGGTTTGTGTGCTCCTGTTTTTCTCTGGACTATTTAGTGTGTCTGTTTCACTAGTGAAACTAATTATGCAACTTATTGGCAAAAATATTTGAAAACACCAAATAAATGGTCAAATTTGGGCAAGTAAGCAAAATACTGAAGCAGAAATTTGACACTTCTGCTTTCACAAATAATAAAAGGAATCAAAATCACGTCAGAACTGTAACTTTAAAAACATAAAAAAGAAAAAAAAACTACTGAAAATATGCTGGGGCTTGAAGCCACAGCAGAAACATTATAGTATAGCAGCTGTCAGCAAAAGTAGGATAAGGAGGATCTCTGGCTGGGAAAAAAAGGACGTCAAGAAGTGATTTATACAGGTGAAAGGCGTACAATTAAAATATGGTGCAAAAGTCCATTAATTTAAGTATTTCAACTCAGACTGAGAGACCATCTAAAGGCTCAGGAACCTTTTGCAGATGTTTTGGATTAATTAGCTGATTAGAATGGAACACTGAGTCTAGAATATGAAATGTTTTCACAATAATCTAATAAAGATTTTGAATGTGGGTTTTCATAAGCTGTAAGCCATAATCATCACAATTATAACAAATTAAAGTTTTAAAAATCTGGCTTTGCACCTAGAGTCTATTATATATTAGTTTCACTTTTTTAAGTAGAATTACTGACATAAATTAACTTTTGCACCATATTCTCATTTTTAAAGTTTCACCTTAGTTCTCTTATTATTAAAATAACACTTCATGAACTTTAGTTTTGTGTGTCCTAATTATCGTACATTTGGTGTAAATAAAGCATTTGTTCTGTTAAAATAACATGGTGAGTTACTTAGGTTTAAGCTCTATGTGGGATTTAAATTAAATAGAAAAAACATCTACTAAAAATTATAAAAAATAATTTCAACAAAACCAAAACAATCATAACAAAATGATCCCACAAGTATAAGATTGTCTAATTCCTCCAAATGACTGGTTCTTCTATGCATAAAAGCAAAACCAACATGTGAAAATCATTTGTATATGTGGGTGGATTTAAAAGAACTCCTTATTTAGAAGAACATAAATGAACGTGTAATTGTTTCATAAAGTCAGTCTTTATTTAAGGCCTATATGTTTCCTTACAGCAGCAACAGATGGCTGTGTGGGCTCAGGCTTTCACTCAAAGGCAGCTAAAGCAACGTGTGTGGTTAAGCATAGGCAAGAAAATATGTAGAGCTCCATCCATCATAAATTCCCCAGTGCACCATTTTTAGTTTTGTAGGGATGGCTGTCAATCCGATTAAGTGCACAAATCTTAATTAGTTTACTGAGCATTTCACCTCGGTTTATCTGAAGTCATGCTGTTTTTGTTTACCAGGAAGCTTTTGATCTCCTGTCAAAGATAAAGTATCACATCATCATCATATTAGGAGGTGGTGGGTGTTAAACGAGGCTTCTGGTGACATTTTTTTTAGTAAATAAATGAATTTAAACTCACTAAAGAGTTTAAAGGTACATTTTCTGACAGGGTCCTGCAGCACAGAGGTCAAGCTGGGGTCACATGTCATGATAATGTTTAGTTCCTCATCAACACAGGTTAGTTACTTAACTCGGGATTAAAACAATAACCATCATTCTTGACTCACACATGTCATCTGTTATTGTTTTAGACCCTTCTTTTCACTTGAGAATCCTGCTTATGGTTAAAAACACTTTCTGCTTCTTTGATATTCTGCCTGGCAACAAAACTACACAACACATCCAACTGATTACCAAAATTGTAAATATATGTGAGCGATTTTTAACAATCCCCATGATTCTCTGGTTTGCTTTGTGATTGGGGGCTGATGGGACCAAATTGTGTAGCATCTACCTATGGACTCTCTCTACACTAACTTCCTGTAGAGATAGGAGGGTGATGATGATGATGATGATGATGATGATGATGATGATGATGATGATGATGATGATGATGACATTGTTGTCAGGATATCCAAGGGCTGGGGTGGGAGTGTGGAGTGTGTTTTATCTGGCATCTGTTTTGGATTCTCCATCGAGGAATCTTTGAGTGAGTCATTGAAGAAGTGAAATATTTAATTTTAGGTATTTAGGTTTGATTCTCCGCGTATCATGTAACAGTAGCATTTCAAAAATCGCAAAACAGCCATTAAAACTTCCAAGTGATAAGGGAGTGTTTGTCTGTATTTATGCATACAATGGTATTCTCAGATTTCAGCTACTGTATGGTCACAGGCTTCTATCACTGGCCAATAAGATCGAGCTATAATAGATCTGTAAAGATATTAGCCAGAAAACCTGTGACAGTACACCACTGTAAAGCATTGCAGGGATTAAATGTTTGAATGTTTATTTTTCTTTTTATTGAAACTGATGTTTAAACGTTTTCACTACACCACTCTTGAGGTTTTAGGACAGCTTGTAGTGCCGCTCAGAGCAGTAGGCCCTGCCGAACGGGGAGCCTTAACAAATCTAATAGTGCCTAGGAGGAAAACAACATTCGAGCAGCCGGTCTCATTTCATCAGGGCGCAAAACCATGGAGCTCCCTGACTACAGAGGTGAAAGAGGCATAACAACTAGCCACTTTTAAAAGTAAACCAAAGCGTGCTTTGAAAACGGCTCAGGTAGAATCGCGTTGCTGTTAACCAGTAGGAGGCGAGAGGTCCAAATATCAGGAAATAATGTGATTAATGGTCCATATAGCTGCATACACAATTATTTTCTTTAAGGGTGAATGCGGTTTTTTATCACAGGTTTCTGCTATTAGAGAAAAATGTCAAAATAGGATTATTGACTGAAAAACAAAAACAGGGTCACTGATTGAACTCCTGTGGCACACCGACTTCATCCTAACGTCTAATCAACTGAAAGTTTTCTTGTACTCTCGCTGAAGTGGTGGGCCGATTCATGAACGTTTCTTAACTTTTTCTGTTCCCCCACCTGACGTTAATTCCCTGGTCCAACAGCACTGAGCTGTAGAGGTGAGAAAAAAGAAAAAGGAAAAAAGACGGCTTAGGGGGTGAAAGAAATCTGTGTGGGAGAGATGTTGGCAGCATACCTGAAGAAAACTGCTCATTTGAAGTAAAACATGAATACAGAAAAGAGGGAGAGAGCTCAATCTCCCAATGGTGAATTTATTTATTTTATTCCTTTTTCACAGTGAAGAACAAATTCATTCAAAGAAATGTTTACATTTTTAAAGGAAAAGGCGGGACACGGATCTGAACATCTGCTTGGTATATATTTAACAAATGTGAGCTAAATAATGTCATTCATATGTGTGCGAGTTCACTTTTTAATTAGCTGTGGAGCTTTGAGATTCACTACAAACCTTTAAAGTAGGGATGTCCAATATCATCAGTCTAACAATAATATTAATATTATTATTACATTACTGGAAAATATTGGTATTGTTTTTTTAATGACACAGCTTTTACATAACATACAGATATCAAACTCTTCAGCTGCTTCACCTCTCTCTCACCCCTACTGCACACTGGAAGCATGAGCGACGTGGAACGACAGCGGAAACGTTTACTCGCAACAACCTCTGTGGCTTCACGGCTGTGCTCCTCGCCCGGCTCGCAAGATCACAAAATCCCTTGAGTTTGTGCCATTAAACCAAAAAAAAAAAAAAAAAAAAAAAAAAAAAAAAAAAAAGAAATCATGTTTGATATCGTTGTTTGATGTCATATGTGATGTTGTTTCTCTCCACTGCCATGAAAAACACACTGCATGGATGTAGTTTAGACTTTAAAAATGGGGGTCACACCGTCATGAGGACTGGGTGGCAGGTGGATCTTTACAACAACTATACCAAATATATGTATAAAACTACAGCCTGTAGAGGCTATTTTATGCAATGTCAGGAATGCAGAACTCTCAAGAACGGCCAATCACACGTTAGCAAGTATCAGCAGAGCCAATAGATGAGCCAACACATTCTCACACCCTAAGCATCAGAAACAAACGCTTGGTCAGCCACCCTCCACGTCAGACCCCAGATGCCAAAAGTGCCCTTTTTCGTTATGTGCAAAAAGGGGTTTTTCCCTTTTGTAACTGCAGATCCCAATGCAGCGTAAAACTGACGTGATTAGATATCCGCTGATGCGGCACCGAACCAGCTCATTTAACCGCACCTAAACCTTAAATGTGGCACCGAACCACCTCGTTTAACCGCAGCTAAACCTTAACGTTTCACTATTTATAACCTTCCCCTCTCCCTCATCCTAACCTTAACCCTCTTGCTATCTAAAACGTTACTCTCACTGTGATCAAGCGTCTATTTCCCACGCATTCTGACTCTGACAGTCAGAGTCTGACTGTCAATTTTCGTATTTGCCGCCCAAGGGGAACGTTAGAACATACCATATGGCGAGGGGGAGGTTACACATACCCTCTACTTTTAACCTCCATGGTAGTTGAAACCTCCCCCTCACGTTGGCTCGGTCCAAACTCGACCAATGACGAGGCGGCTCCCGCCGTTCACTTCATAGAGCCGGCTTTTAGAGCGATCGACACATCACTAACATGTTCGCTAGCAAGATGGTTAAGGTTAGGATAGGGGTGAGGGTAAGGTTAAATAAGAGGATAAGGTTAAGGTGAGGTACAATGAGAT